CATGTAGATGAGCAATTCTGGTTTCGTTTGCCAGCCCTCTCCTACTCCCTCCTAACTCCTCAGGCAGACTGCCCGCAAGGCGGCACATGTCCCCATGTTCTTCTCTTCAGCTTTCATCCTGCTGTTTGCTCCTCTGCTGGCTGAACGTGCCCATGTTTGGCTAGGATAGCAGCTTAGTTAGGATGACAAAAGTCAGGCTCCCAGAACCTGGGAGAATAGGACTCAGAACTAAAGAGGCAATGCAAACAATCAAACACATAAATAAAGCAAAAATCAAGTACAAGAGAAGCAAGGCCAGCACTTGTGAAAAAAGCCCCAGTCCACCTGCTTGGTCTTTGTCTTGTTTTTTTTTTTTTTTTAAACCTCAGATTACTCACCTGCAAAAGAGGAATATTTCATTCACCTATATAGTAGGTGCCTATTTTGTGCCAGGCACTACTACTTCTAGAAACCAAGGACACAACAGTGAACACTACAAAGCACCGCAGTAACGTATGCCTGGGGAGAAAACCACCAAAAAGCAAAAGAACATACGTCAAACACTTAGGTACTACCTGACATTCCAACAGCTGGGGACCTGAATAAATGGAGCACGGTACATTCCTACAATGAAGCACCAATGTCTCATAAAAAGGAGCGCAACATTGACGAATGCTGCAATAAGGCTGCCCCTCAACAGCATGTGACATGAAAGAAGCCAGACACAACTTACCTTGTATTCTGTGTCATCCCATTTATAGGAAATAAGCAGAACAGGCAAACCCATGGGACAAAAGCAGGAGCACCAGGGAGAGAAGGAAGTGAGTGCTTTCTGGGGACAAGGTCTCCCTTTGGGGTGGTGAAAAAGTGAGTCCAGGAGCTGGTTGCATAACACTGTGATCACCCACGGACACATCAAGAAAGGATCTGGCATATTGTGAAGTATTTTATATACCTTCTATTTCAGTTGTTGTAAGAAGGCAAACAAAAGTATCTCTTACACAGGAAATTACTACAATAAGTAAGTGATTAAGGAAACATTTAATCACTGGAGTGCCATGCAGCCCAGGAAGTATGCTCCGTAAGTCCTAGGGTGGAAGGACATCAGAAATACGTTTAGTGAAAAGGAAAAACCTTAGGCCAGCCACTATGGTATCATTCACATTACAACACACATCTGTGTGCCATGGGGTTATCTATTTACAGACACTTAGAGAACAATGAGATTGGGAGGGTAACAAGAAAAACGGGCAATGTTATTTCTGTAAGTGACTCATTAATCAATATACATTTCTCACTCTTCTGTACTCACTGTATGCATGGCAGTTCAGGAATTTTCAGATGACAAGTTCAGAGTTAAAAAATCTGTAATCTGTCCAAAGATGGTATTATGAGAAATACTGAGTCCAGAATATAAGAATTACCAGGTTTGAGGATTACCATTTCTTTGCTTCATATTCCTAGGAAGAAGTAGCACTTGACTGGAGGGTACTTTGCTCCGAGGGCGCCTGCGAGTGCTTCTGCTTCCCCGAGGGCAGGGTGCACATGGGTGCTAGCAAATGTTCCTGGAAGCCAGGACCCCTGGGTGACGCACCAAGGCCGTGCCTCTGTTCAGCTGCCCTCTCCTGGATGTGTGCAAGAATGTTTTCAAGGGTGAAGTAAGTGACGAAGCATGGCCAGCAAGGAAATCCACCCACAAGTCTGAACTCTTAAAAAAAAATCATTTATTGATCCTTTACCATACAAAATTTATTCAAATTACAACCATTTGAAGTGGTGAGATCACAGCTAGAGAACAGGTCACCCTGTAACAAACTATTTACAAAATCCATCATAAAAGCTTTTTTTTTGCTTGTTTTTTTACATTATATTACATATTTCCTTTTTAAATTTTTTTAAACTAGCATACAACACAAAGCTAATCTGATTAGTAGTTTGCCTACTCCCAATTTTGGGAGAAATACTTCCTTTTTACAAAATCATGTACCCCATAGGAAAAGTAATTCCAACACCCTGACAATTACCAACTGACTTACTCCACAAGCCGCCTGCCTTCCAACTCCTCTTCTCACACACACAACACGTTGTCATGCACACATTGAGTTCTTACTTTCTTTTTCCTGAACCCTAAAGCTTTAAATACTGAAATTTTATTTACAGATCTACACGTCCAACAAAAACGAAAACAAAGAACCACCACCACAAGGAAACAATAACAAAGGAACGCTGTTAAAAAATTACAAACCAGCTAGAAAATATTCTGGCAGTGTTTACAAATCAATTGCTATTTTTTTGTTTGTACAAAATTGCTAAATAATGAATGCGTGAGTAGACTACATATCAACTTAAATAAGACAACAGCTATGCACAACTCTGTACATATAAACACACGCCTAACACTGTCTGACAGCTCACGCGTTGCCCTGGACACATCTGATTTCCCCAGGCTCACCCAGTCATAATTCGCACACTTGTAACTTTGTAGCCATTTCATGTGTGAGCTTGAATAGCAGCAACTCAATGGTACCAGGAAACCTGCATACTTAGTACTTAGAGTAACATAAATACTGTAGTACTAACCCTCTTCGTGTGCCAGGTACTCTGTCAAAAAGAACAGGACTGATGCAAACTTAATACAGCATGGATGTTTCATGAAAGTCTACCAGTTAAGCCCATTAACTGGAGAAATCTTACACATGAAGGAATTCTTAAGACTTATTATTATTAGTATTCCTTTCATTAAAAAAAAACACAATAAATATGGCATTAATATCACGCAAAGGCTCAACAAGAAATTCAAACCAAACACACAACCACCTTGCCAGGTGAGCTCAGTCTTTAGACTTTGGGAAAGGAAAAAAAAAAAAAAAATTCCTCTTTGTGCAGCTGGCAAAGAGAAGCGACACAAAGCTGGAAGCGGAGGCAGCTAACCAGATGAGATAAATATGGGAAATGAGGAAAAGCTTGGCAGAAACGGTTTCCCATACAGGAAAACACCCCACAGTGCATTTCCAGTAGGCACTTAACACAAAGCTCCCCCTCCCCGCTTCACCCTGCCGCTGCCTTTGGGACCACACGGGGATTCTGTACCAAGTCCAGGGTGTGTGAGGGGAGGAGGCTGGGGACCGAGGCTGAGGAGGAGACACAGCAAGTTCGTCTGCACCTTTAGTATTATTCTTCCCAAACACACACACCCACGCACACCCACACACAAGAGTTTAAAGTGCTGGTGTCATCCGTGCTGACGTCACCACCACTTTGCATATTGTGGAAATCTACCGAGAGTAAATGGCCGGGGCGCTTGTGGTTCCCCAAGGGCTAGCTGCGATCTGAGCCAACACAGCCAGGTCGAGCGCGGTCGTGTGCGGGCCGTTGGGCCACGCACGTGGCATTTCCACTCGACCAGCTGGGTCTGGAGGTTTGTTTTATCTCTATGACTCCCTCCCACCCCCCATCCCAGTCCCGCAGCCCTTAGCATCTAGGGAATGGGTATGAGGTAACTGTGCCACTTTCCCAGGGTGAAATGGCCACCGCCATCTGTCAACGGGCGTGCCATTCTTGGGCGTGATGGGCAGGACGGACAGACAGCTAACATGAGGCCTGGCATCCAGTCCCCTCACCTTTTCACTTTCTGGGGCTGCCCCTGGGGCCAGCCCCACTTCTCCTCCTGAGAAGGGTATTGGGGTTCCAGTCCCTGCAGGACATGGGGGGAGAATTCCCTGTTCTCACTGGCTCCGTATGGAGGTGCCAAAGCTGGAATGCCACGCACACCTGGGGGAGAGTCCCGGAGGCCTCTCCATCGGACCCCCAACCTGAGAAGTGTCTCCCTGAGTGTGGCGTATAAGAGAGCCCTTTCCGCGGCCACGGGGGCCCGGGGAGCCCGGGGATGGAGGGGTTCAGGCCTGCTGCTCCTTGGGACTGCGTTCCATTCTACCTGTCCTCCCTCCCCAGGGGCCAGCCGTGCCAGCTGGACTGCCAGCTGCTCTCTGGGGAACAGGAAAGTAGGACGCGTCGATGCCTCAGCTCCTGTGGGTTTACACGCCCTGCTCCGTAAGGTTCTCTCCCTCCGCTCACTAATAGGAATTTGCACATCTATATATATAATATATATATATAAACACACACACATACACACAAACCAAAAATCGCTTCAAAGTAAACAAGTCAAATGGTGATGGGCGCCACAGGAATGCTTAAATGGCCACTAAGTAATAAAATAACAAAGTAAACAAACAAAAAACCCCCCCAAAAAACAAAAAACCCAAAACAACAATAAGAACAAAAAAAGAAAGTCTCAAACAATTCCCAAACAACTCCTAAGTCGGTGTTTGCTACAAATCAACAGGAAACTCACAAACACAGCCGGGAGTGGATTATGGAGACAGTGGCAGAACTCCACCAGTCCTGCGAGTGTCTCAACGAGTGCTAAGAACCAGCTTCTTCATCCGAAAGGCTGTTGGAGGTTCTCTCCACCTCCGGGGGCGGCAGGGGCGGGGCAGGGGGGGACAGAGCGGACACACGGTCCATAGCTTCATCATTTAAATATTCCTAAAGGAGATCTTAAGAAATCCGTTTTCATCCTTCTGCATGACTTTTCAACTTCACCTTGGCTGCAGTTCCGTTCTGAGCGGCTCCCAAGGACATGCATTCTGCGGAGAAGGCACGGCTTGAAATGCTATTAAGGAAGATGGCTGTGTCCAAGTGTGGGCCAGGTGGCCAGAGCCCGTTCCACAGTCCATCCGTCAGGCACAGCAAGCCAGTCCGCGGCGCGCATGCGCACACGCGCGTGACAAAGGGCACGAAGGCGGGAGGGGACGGCTGAGAGAGACCTGATTGCACATTTTCTCACTTACTGACTCATCCAGGAGATTTTTTTTTTTTGGAGCCCGGAGCATGGCAGGGCTTTCCCGGGACGGGGTGGAGGGTCGGGGGAGCCTGCAACTGTGCGTTTAGACTTTTTTTTTTCTTTAAAAAAAAAAAAAAAGAAGAAGAAGAAAAAATAACTTCATCAAAATGTCAGCTTTGTTCTGAAGTTTGTAGTTTACTTCATGATACTCTCTTGGAGGAGGAAGGTAGGAGGGCAACACTGCATGACAGATGTTCTGCTTCCGTGATTAAAAAAATAGCGGTTTGTAAGGAGCATTCACACACGGAGTGTAATCAACTACACATAAAATCTTCCACCAGCGGGAGCTTTTCCAAATCGTAGGTGTCGAAGAGGTCGCTGATGCCCTCCTGCTCCCCCAGGCTCAGCAGGTAGTCCTCCTGCAGTAGCGGAGGCAGCAAGTTCACGAAGGGACCCTCCAGGTTGGAAGGGATTTGGTCCTCAGTGTACTGGAGGAGGTTGGCGGGGGAGGCCAGAGGAGAAAGGCTCGCCACAGAAACGGAGCAGTCACTAGGTCCTGAGTTGGGTGAAGCCGAGTCTGCGAGGAAAGCACGGGTGGGGAGGAAAGCGGGGTGTTAGGAAGGCAGACGGACTCTTCTGGAAGGAAGTGGACATGGCCGTCACCCAGGGACAGACTGTCTCGCTAAGGATGGGGAGGTGGCTGCCCTGCAGACCACGAAGGTGTGTGCCCCTCTCTCTGCCTTCGTCGGCCTGCTGCCCGTCCACCAAGGCAGACGCAGTATCCCCGTAGAGCAGCCTCGCGGCTAGCAGGGACACTGTGCAGCTCTGAGTGACAATACCTACCTAGACTTGGACACGCATGCAAGTGGAGGCTTAGCAGGATCACACTAGTATTAACTTAGTCCCTTCTCAAACAGCACCTTACTAAAAAGCAACCTCGAAAAACACAGCAGGGGAAGCCTGTCTACTCTGAACTTCCTTGGTGAGCCAAGAAGGCCTTCTGTGTTCTTACTTTGGATGCTGCATTTTGGCTCAGGAACCAGACACTTAAGTCACTCCTATCTCTGCTGCTACCTTAGGCAACGAGGTGGGGTGGAGGAGTTGGGGGGAGGGATGTAACACATACCTCCCCAAAAGAACATTGAAAACAACAAAAACCCCCAACAATCCCAGCGCACAGAGCTCCTTGGGGCCAGGGAGAAGCGGAGAGGCATCTGTTTCTCCCGGGCTTTCCCGCCTTCCCTTCTGCTGATCGTTCTGGGAGAACATGAAAGAACAACACTCTTTAAGCAGTTTTTCCTTTCTGTCTCCTGTGATGTTTGTGGCACCAAAGGCCTGTGGGTGGGGAACCTCCAGGAGGGTTCACAGTATCACACCCACTTTGACTGAGATCTGGAACCCTGGGAGGAAATGACTTCAGCCGAAAGCGGAAGCCAGAAGGGGCTCCGAGAGCCATTGGGGAGCCGTCTGTCTAGCATCGTACTTTAATCCTGCAATCCGGTCAGGATGCCTCATTAAAATAAAACATTACTTTAATAACAGTGTGTATCGTCTTGCCTAGACTTGTGTTTCTAATACAAGATCCCTCCTTTTCCATACAGTCCCCCGGAGATACCGGGTGGGAATTTCTATTTTTTTTTTTTTTTTTTTTACCTTTGGAAGTGGATTTTGGGATATTCCCATTGTGGTCTTGGTTGGTTGTTTTCACGGGACTGTGCGTTTCAGTCTCTTCTGAACACAGGAAGACCTCAATGGGTCCTTGGGTACTTGCCAAGTGTATCTGTAGGCTCTGTGGAGACAAGTGGTAGGATTTCAATCCTGAAGTGACAGGAGGGGCACCCCTCACCCCCGTCCTGCCCTGCCCCAACCTCCCAAATTAGGTCGAGTTCACTTTGTTGTTTCTCTACCATTGGGGGTGGGGCAGCCAAATGCAATACAGCCTGAGGGGCCCAACCCAGTCTACTCCAGGTTCAGTCAACAGGGTTGTACAGGAGCCCAGCCCTGCCCCAGAGCAGAGTTAATGCACTGCCCCTTGGTTGTTTTCACATCACAAGGGCAGAGTTCAATGCCTGGTAGAATAGCCCAGAGACAGACTCCAATGCTCATAAAGCCAAATATATTTACTATCTGATAGCTGGAAAAAAAAAATTTGCAGACTCCTGACCCAGTTTTGTTTAGGGGAGGGGAGGCCATTTTGAATGGAACACTGTGAAAGGTCAACTGGGTTCTTCCAAGGGAGTTATTCTGCCAATGATCAAAAAAGGGCTTTTGAGGGTTGCAATAAAGGTATCTCTAAACAATGAAACCCTATGGCAAGGCTTTTTAAATCTTGAACTTCGAGAAACTGTGTTTAGTAAGAGGATGGGGCATACAGCTTACTGATATTTAAAGTCGTTCTTGGTCTACATCACAGAATTACTATCTTCCAAGAGCAGAGGTCTGCTCTACGTGGTAGCTTGTAAATCTCATCCTTTTTGTAAAAAAAAAAAAATCTTTACATTTTGTTTTTAAAATGTTCTTTCTTTTTTTCTCATGACATTCTGAATTAACGGTTAACTCAAAGCTTGTTTTAAGTAGGCATGTTATAAATGATAAAGGAAAAGAAAAAGGATTTCTAGAATGGGCCAAGATAAGTTAGGGGCTGTCCCCAAACCTCTGCACCTCTAGTCATGGTGGGGAGCAGGAGACACAGGGTTATCTACATACCACTTCCCAAAGGGGTTTACAACTTGGGAAATAGTGAACATACACCAAGGAGAAGGTACCATTCCACTTAGAGTGTCCTGCTAGGCTAAAATCAGATTTCCAGGTGCTCAGAAGTAGAAGAAACTGCTCAAGCACTTTCACATTTAGGGAGAGGTAAAGCAAAAACGGGAACGAGCTCTGCCATCAGCGGCAAAGGCCAGACTTCCACCCGAGCTGATCATTTTCTAACTTGATGCATTCCAGAGGCATGACAAGGACTTGTCTTCTTACCTCCACGCAGTCAGGCACTTCAAGTCTTGTTTCTGGAGGGGCTTTCACGACTATAACAGTTTGGTCTTTAAGGCCACTAATTTTTCGAATATCTTGATATGTAACATAAGCTAACGTACTGCGGGTTAAGGAAATCTTCCATCTGATCGCCTCAGATGCAACCATGATGAAATGACAAAAGAGATGCGGAAGAAACATTTCCCAGTGCGTACCCCACTCCCCTTCTGGCTCTGCCAACATGTGAGGGTGCCCCACGGAATCTCTCTGCTAGGGACACAGCTTTGTTCTGCATGTTTCTACCAAGTTCATGACTATTTACAACAAACACAAGAGTGCTAGAGTTAAATGAGCAACTTCAAAGCAGCATCCATTCGGGTCAGGGGGTGTGAAGGCAGGTTCCCTTGGAGTTCAGGTGAGGCCACGGTCTCCACTGAAGAATTCTGTCACTAAGACTGACTGATGGCACATTCCAGTGTGCAGAAGATTTAACTTCTACTGATCATCTATATATTTTTAAACCTTCGGTTACTCTCAGCTGTCATGAGCAAGTGTCAGCAGCTACCAAGTGAATCGATAAGCAGTGAATATGGAGGAAGAACTCCGGATGCAGCCCAGGCTGGCTCTCTGCATTGTTAAGTGCATGGGAGCTGCTTCTGCCTCTATATTATCTACAGATAAGAGCGTCATGGCTTCTGTTGGAGAAACTACCCTTTGTGTGAGGTTATTAACTCAGCCAACATTTCGGCATTCACAGGAAGGAAAGCGATGTCCAGGAGTTCTGCAACCTGAGTGAAACTCAGAAACACTGAGTGAGGAAAAAGAGAAAATATTTCAGAACCTCTGGTAGTTATTTTAAGCACTGAACAATTAGGTGGCCTGGCAGCCAAGCCCAAACAATAATCATGAGAGAACACGGTATTTATTTTATGACAAGGGTATTCATGTGAACTGGCCTAGAGAGACAAAACTCTTAAGAGAACTGGATACTAAGTTTTCTAAAAGAACATGGAATAGTATAAAAGAATACACAAAGTTTTAAGCCAGTTTTTTAAAAAGATGTATTCATTTATTTACTTGAAAGGCAGAGTTAAGAGAGAGAGAAGGGGCAGATTCCTCTCTACTGGTTCCCTCTCCAAATGGCCACAACGGCTGAAGCTGGGCCAGGCTAAAGCCAGAAGACTCATATGGATCTTTCATGTGGGTGCATTGGCCCAAGCAAGTAGAACATCTTAGGCTGCTTTCCAAGGCACATCAGCAGGGAGCTGGGTTGGAAAGTGGAGCAGTCAGCACATTAACTGGGGCTCACAGCCGATGCAGATGTTATAGGTGGCGGCTTAACCCATGATACCACAATGCCAGCCCCTGGCCAGCTGCTTTTAAAACATGAACCCATGAACATGTGTAGAATAAAATAGCAAAAAAAGAAAAAAAAATCAGTAAAGAAAAGAAAGGGAGGGAGGGAGAAAGGGCATATTATTCTATTTTGTATCCAGTAGCTATATTGATGCTGTTAAAAACTACAAATAAATAACTTTAGAACAACTAAAAGGTGATACAGCTATACACTGGACTTCCCCAAACTGAAGGGAGAGTGGGCATTGTGGATTAAGCCACTGTCTTGAGATGCTGGCATCCCATGTAGGAGTGCCAATTTGAATTCTGGCAGCTTTGCCTCAGGTTCAGTTTCCTGCTAAAGTACTTGGGAAAGCAGCAGAGATAAGCTCAAGTGCTTGAGCCCCTGCCACTGAAATGGGGAGGGGGAACCTAGACCTTGTTCCAGGTCCCTGATTTCAGCCTGGCCCAGCCCTGGCTGATGCACTCATTTGGGAAGTAAACCAGTGGATGGAAGCGCACGTTTCCTCTCTAACTCTGGCTTTCAGATAAATAATTAAAAATCATATATATATACTAAAAAAAAAAATCAACGAAGGCATTTCTTCAGGTTATGTCATATATTACAGTAATATCTGTGATTTGACAAGTTTAGTACAGAAAGAGGCTTACAGAACCTGCAGGCAAGATGTCCCTTGAAAATAGCAGCTCCAGGGCCCGGCGCGGTGGCGCAAATGGTTAAAGGTCCTCGCCTTGCACGCCCGGGATCCCATATGGGTGCCGGTTCTAATCCCGGCAGCCCCGCTTCCCTTCCAGCTCCCTGTCTGTGGCCTGGGAAAGCAGTCGAGGACGGCCCAAAGCTTTGGGACCCTGCACCTGCGTGGGAGACCTGGAAGAGGCTCCTGGCTTCGGATCGGCATAGTATCGGCCCGTTGTGCTCACTTGGGGAGTGAATCATCGGACGGAAGATCTTCCTCTCTGTCTCTCCTCTCTGTATATCCGCCTTTCCAATGAAAAAATAATAAAAAAATAAATCTTTAAAAAAAAGAAAATAGCAGCTCCTTAATAGACACTGAAGCCAGCCATGAATCTTTTCCCTGGCGGAGGAAACATCCACAACAAGCTTTATGCACACTTAGGGGTGTCGATCACAGACCATGTCCCTTAAGTCTCCAATGTTGAGTCAACAGTTTTGATCTCAACAGCACCTGCTCTTAAGCATTCCGTGGTTTGGTCCTCAACGGAGCCTGCTGCAGCCTTTCTGGGAGCTGGACAGTTCTTAACAGCTACTGAGAGCACTGCTAACCAGGTATTTCCATTACAGCCCACTGTCACAAAGCTGTGTGACAAGGACACATTAAAATAAAAACTCATGGACAATTACTCAACATGCTACAGGAAGGAAAATTTCAACACATTTGTGCACAAGCTGTACTGAATAGGGAACTGAATGGCAAATTGAAAGAAATGGTGCAAATATTATTTTCTAATCTTGCAAACTTAAAAGCGTTTTATTTGTAGAGCCCTTCCGAATTTGCTTCTCTGGTTAGCAGTCTCCCGCAAAGCTTTCATTTCAGGTAACAAAGGCCTTAGAGGAAGCTAATACTGGTGACAACGCTGCGAGCCACATGTTCTGGAAGCTCCCAATCATGTGTAGGCAAGCACACATCCGGTCCCCAATGGGGTTCCTAGCTCAACAGGGAGGGAAAAGGACTGGTAAGTTGGTTTCTTCCCTTGTAAACCCACTCTGGTCACCAGCAGGGAGTCAAGTAATCACATCTCTTCTCAACTACTAACTGTGCACCGGAGGTCAATCCTTTGGTCAACAGGAAATGAACAACCACAGGTAAAAAAAAAAAAAAGCTACCTGAATTGGGCAATGCGTGTTCTATAGCCTTCAAGGGAGGGCTGCTGGAGATGGAACAGCGGAAGAATCTGGGCAGGAGAGATTCTGTGTCTTCACACAGAGGTGTAAGAGCAGAGTCGTCAAAAGCTTACACACACACAATTAGAGAAATCACCACCTGAAACGCCCATATTCTGCTGCTCACGGAGGACAGCAGCAAAGAAGACCTGGTCTCCCTATGTTTCGCTCTGGGGTTGGGGGCACGTCTCAGGTCTGCAGGTGAACAGAAGAGTTGAAATTTCTCAGGACTTTAGGGTGCCTCTGAAATCAGATTTTGGTGTGGGAAAGCAGCATCATGCACTTTCATTGCATGTGTTTCTACGCTGTTTCAACGATAGCCCAATCAGAATATATATTTAACAAATTCCCATTGCTACGAGGTCTGGTGAAAATAGAACGTGAGAACCCCAACAGTGACAGCTGACACCCACCAGAAATCTGTAAGCCAAAGACAAGTCTGCTTAGTGTTGTCACTAATATTACCACTGACACCTTCCCTACGGTTGCACAGTGGCCTTACGTGATGGGTGTGTCCGTGTGTCCCAATCACACAAGGATCAAATGTTTTTAAGAAGACAGTTTCTTACTTGGCTATCAAAACAGATGAAAGGCTTTAGTCCATTAATTATCTTACCATAAATAATTTAAACACACACACACACACGCAATCCTCTGCAAGAAAACCAGCGTAAAAGAAGATCTATCTCAGACTGTCAATTTTGCACATCGCCTGCAAGGCACGAACCCTCAGCGAACCAGTGGCACAAAGGATATCTCTGATTCTCTGAATCCTCGGTTAACAGTTTGAGGTCCAGGGTGCAGCTTTGGATGAGTTCATCTAACTTCTTCTCTTCCTGACTGAGCTCTGTCACTTCTTTTGACAGGCCTTGGCACTGGGCCAGCATGCCCCCGTCCTCAGACAGATTGCAGCCCCTGGAAACCCAAACACAAGAGAGACGTGTCCACTCATGCCAGGCATGGGGGAGGGGGGGAGTCTCTGAGGTCAATGTCCTCTCTTATGACATGGGAGGTGATGCTGCTCACCAGCCCAGAGTCAGAATCAGGTATTCCACACCCCCCTGCCCAGTCCCGTTCAATACAGTCCTATACTTTGCACAGCACATTGGGTGGAAAAGTGCAGCTCTGTTCAGAGTGCTTTCCTGCAAGAGAGGACTACTGGAGCCTTCAGAAGGCCCCAACCAACCACATCCCCTACCACATCTCCTGGAGATGCGGGGCTGGGTGATGATAAAAAGACAAGATTAGAAGAGATGGAATGGTTCAGATGTCAAGGATATCTGCAACGCATCAAAGACTCAGGGGATTTCTGAGGGGTGTGTACCAACAACTGCTAATGAGAGAACAAAGAACAGTACCCTATAGGTTTCTCTAAAACATAGCCCACCAAGGATGACAGGTCATTCCAAAAGGCACACATAAAAAGCCACCCACCCACGTTACCGTGTGTGAATCAGTACCATTTCAACGTCACCCCCCTACCACACCCATTCCTCCCAACATGCTTTAACAGCGTCCTCATCGAGCACCAGCTCTCCAGGCGCTCTGCTTGTAATTCTCTAATAACACTAGGAGGCATTTAACCATCCTTGTGGGAGTACAGGCAACAACTGTCATCACCCCCGTGGTAAGTCTTGCCTTAATTGACATATTACGTGCTTCACCTGCCATTAGAACCATGGGAGAAGTTACTATGTGGTTGTGCCTAGACACAGGCAGAGCCGATTTTTCTAATTCTTTTAGAGACGAGCCAAGGGTCCACGCGTGAGCCTCTGTGCCATCACACGGGTGAGCCCACAGAGCCATCAGTGGAACACCTGATGAGCACTCCAGCTCACATCCCCAGGGGCTGGTTTGATTCACACATCCCTGGCTTAACGCTTGTCAGCAAGAAACCGCCCCTCTCTGACAGCATCTAAACAGGAAGGCTCTGTGAAACGACCTTGAACACTGACTCAGAAGGAGTGAAAGCAGAGGAGGAGAGAGGTAAGCCATGGCTGTGAAGGGTGGGATGCGGACAAAGCGGCCCCAGGTGAGCGCTTGGTGCTCTGACTCACATCCACTGGACGTTGTTCTTGGACTTCTTCTTGATGAGGTGGATGCCTTCCAGGACGTTTGTGATGTCGTAGATCCTTCGCTTCTGCACCTTTAGCACCTCGGCCGCCTTGTTCAAGTCCAACACTCCATCGGGCGACTGGCTCAGCAGCTGAATGAACTTCTTGGTGAGCAGACCAAGGGACGTGTCATACCGCGTTTTTTCTGAGGGAGATTTTGGAGCTTAAAGGAAAACAAAAAATCCGAGCGGGTGTGGGGGGGGGAGGAGGGGAAAGGGAGGGAAGGTAAAGAAATGAAGGGTCTCTTTACAGCGCAGCAAGCCCCTCCCCGCCCGCAGCCCGAGCGTTAGTGTCAAAAGCAAAGCCGTCACAGCTGCCGCTTCCTGGCCAAGCTGCAGAAAGCCACAAATGCCCCATCAGACGAGGAAGGGGCCACAGAGACCCCTTTCCTGGGTCTATTCAAGCAGCTCACACACTTTACACCTAAGGCTACATATACTGATGAGGAAATACCTGGGAAAATCCTTCTAGCAGACCTTTCCATCTGCCTCAATTTTCCTTAATGAAGGCTGTTTGTTCTTACAGGTGCACAGGTCACAGTATGAAGGGAGCATTATGTGTAAGTTACAGAGTGCTAAGACATTCATCAGGTCAGTCTCCTTTAGCCTTCACACTCCACGCAAATCCGCAAAAGGCTGCTTGGCTGTTTCTAACCTACTTTCCCCCCCTCTCCTACAAGAAACCGCGGCCGCACGAGATGGCGAGGGAAGCTAGCCACCGTTTCCTGGGCTCTGCTGATTCTTCCGCTAGCCTGTGCTGAGTGCGCTGCACGGTGAGGTCGGCACAGACATTAGTGATTCTGGCATTGCTCGTCTACACCGGCAAGCCTCAGGCTCTGCAGTCGTGTCCAGTTAGGGGAAGTCAGAATTAAATTTGATTACAGAGCGATGCCCAAGGCTTGCTTTCTGAGTTGAAAAACAAAACTGCACTCAGTTCAAGCTTCTCTGTCTGTGGGTGCGGAGTGACGCCGGAGCCTGTTGCCGAGTGTCTGCCGACTTCAGCTTTTGAATGGGCACAGAAAGAAATGAAAACTAAGAAAGCATGCCCAGATTACCCGCATCCCAGCACGCTTCCAGCCACAAGCTTTCCAAGTCAGGAATTCCACACCGAGGAGAGTGAGGAGAGAAGAGGGAGGATGCTTACTTTTTGGGCTGTCGGGACTTCGGAGTGCAGCTCTTCCTTTGCCCTTGGGGGTTTTTAAACCATCTGAGAGGTACTGATGACCGCTTTCTCCCAGCTCCAGCCTTCGCTTGGCCTGGAACGAGAAAAGCGTGAGGGTCTGTTACCATCCCGAGAGATGGGGAATGAGACAAGAGGCTGTGCCGCTGTGCCCTGCAGACAGCTGTAAACTCACGGCTGGCCTCAGCCCTCTGCTCCATCGTGTTCTGCCGCTTGGCACTCTGGCAGGCCCCCAGCCTCGCAGGTTCGCCCGGTGGCTGTGCTGTCACACAGACAGGCAAGATCAGCCATTCCGTATTCTACGTGTGTGCAAGGCATGAGGCAAAGAAGAATTACAGGCATGTGTCAAGAAACTTTAATTCACTCTCCCCATGAGCCTTCCTGCCTGTCAATTCTGCCCTGGGTTGGACACCCTTTCATGTGTTCAACATCATGCACCTGCTGCGTATTATGGCAGGAGTTATTTTACCTATCTGCTGCAAGTGCAGGCTGTTTGCCCACGTATCTTGGTACAGAGCTGAATTTCTGTAGGTAGTCAATCTCTCTCCAACAAAACAAAGAAGGACTGAGTAGCAGTAATGGCTGTGGAGCACTAATGGTCCTCTGTCAGAACCAATGTTGCAAACACAGTCTTGGGCTTCAACCTGTGAGGCCATCTTGTCACTTCAAATAAGATTTATTTATCCATTTGTTTATTTGAAAGGCAGAAAGAATCCTCCCATCTGTTGGTTCATTTCCCAAACGTTTGCAACAGACAGGCCTGGGCCAGAGAGTCCACCCTGGTCTCTCACATGTGTGCCAGGGACACAAACAGTTGGGCCTTCATTCAGTGTCTCCCCAGGCTCAAGAGCAAAAGCAGAGGAGCTGGGATTTGAACCGGTGCTCCAACACGAGTCACATATATTCCAAAAGGAGGTTCCTCTGTGTGATCAACCCCAAGTTGGCAGTGGAATCTTGGTTCACGTGAGACATGCCCGCGTACTGTCTTCTAGTACTGAGCACTGTTCTCTTAGGGCATAGAAGACAACAGGGTGGACAGGAGTCTCTGCTGTCCCAGACTAGACAATTGTTCACATTTCAACATGTAATGCAGGACTAACATGGTATGGCTCACTATATATGAAGGCTCATTTGGGCGCAGACTGTTCTCAGGAAAGTTGTCATTTCAGGATACCTCTCCCATGGAGCAGAAACACGTGTCTTAACGTAGCAGAGGCTGACAGACATCAGCTACTCTGAGAGTTAGCAGCTAAACCCGGGCTGCCAGGTCCAGCTCCCTCCAGCTCACCCCAGTGGAATCATAAGGACAGTATCTCAAATGGGTAAAATGGCAATAGTGTTTTAATATTGATTATGCTAAGCATTGTATTTTGGATTTATAAAATAGTAAGAAATAATAGTATTAAAATTATATTTCACTTATTTATTTAAAATGTATTTCTTTGAAAGGCAGAGATAGCACAAGAGTGTTCCTATCCAGGTGCCCTCAATGGCTGGGGCCATGGTTCCCTGTGGGGGGTGGCAGGAAAGCAATTATTTGAAGCCACCTTGCAACTTCCCAGGGTCTGCATTAGCAGACAGCCAGACTCTGAAGCGGAAAGCAGCAACCCAACCTATGTTTGCGGGAACCACTCCTAACCTCTCATGGCCTATGTGTGCCTCTGCACACAGGCGATCCCAGCCTGGCTAAGCCATGTGCTCCATCTTGCCCTTTCCCCAAAGTGACCGGACAGGCCAAAGCTGGGCCACCAAGGCCAAACGCAGGGATTTTTCCTAGAAGTGCCAGTGAGGTGGATAGGCTGGTAGCCTAGGTCTGAGAATGGAGCCTCCCCAGGTGAAACAGAATGGAGAAAGGAGAGAAAGATCTGTGGCCACTCGTAGCTCAGTCCCCTAGGCAACATTTGTATATACACACAGAGAAAGTGTTATCTGCAAGGATTGGCTCACACAACTACAGAGGTGACCTGACCCCGAGATCTTCTATCAGGAGGTTGAGCACACATGTTATCTGTATATATATATAAAAAAACCATAAAACATGTATATATACACATTTATACAATCATTTATTACAATTTATAATTTCTCTAGATTGGTATAGCAACTAAATAACACTTCAAATTACCAGGGTATGGAAATTTGTTACATATACTGTTAGTAATTACAAATAATATGAAGTGCTTATGGGGCTAGCATTGTGACACAGTGGGTTAAGCTGCTGCAGCTTACATCATCGACAGCCTATACTGGAGTGCTGGTTTGCGACCTGGCTGCTGTTTCCAATTCAGCTTCCTGCTAATGCAGTAGAAGATGGACCAGGAGCTTATACCCCTGTCACTCACGTGGGACAGACCCACATGGAATTTCAACCTCTTGGCTATAGCCTGGCCCAGCCTCAGCCATTACAGTCAGCTAGAGAGAACCAGGAGATGGAAGGTTCCTCTGTGTGTCCCTCACTCTGAAACTCTGCAAGTAAAATAAACACAATTTTAAAATGATAAAATAAACAAACAAAAAATAAACTAAGAAAACCGAGTCTCCTGGGTATGCAGGAGTCACGGTGGGTCTTTCCCACGTCTTTTGGTTGCATTAGACAATAATGTGTCTGCTGCATTTTAAGTCCTCTGCTTTGGGTATCTGGAAGCTGCTGTTCCAAGTGACGGTCTGCAAACAACAGCTGAACCGAGGTGAGCTGCGGTTCAACAAGGGGCCGGCGGCCCTGTGACAGCAGCCAAGCACTGTGGTCACTTTCCATGGCCGTGAGGGAGCTGCTACTGAGACATGCTTTGTTTGAGGCTGGTCCACCTAGAAGCAGACACCTGCTTTCTCTCTGTGGAAAAGCAGCCCAGGACATAGAGCTGTGCATGGGCACTTCAAAACTTCATGGAAAAATAGGATTAAAAGACGAGTCTATTTGGGTGCAATAATTCTGAAATCTAGGTACGTTTTTACCATAACATGGATTTTCTACAATTTTTTTTAAAGAGGCCTTGTATTCTCTACCCCAACTAAAGCAAAAAGGAAGGTGATGTTGGAGAAGAATGTGGGTACATAAGGCTGGACTCCCAGCTAAGAATCAGCTAGGTAGCAGAAGAAGAATCAGGGTAGCAGCCAGGTACAGTTCCTAGCTGTTTTGTAAGCAAAAGTGTATGGGAGCTTAGGCTGTACCAAGTTCTGCTGCTAGGAGAACTGAGATCTAACTTTCTAAGACCAAGACTAATCTCCACATGAGACTCTGGATACTAAACACTGGACAGATGACGGCTATACCTCAAAGGTCCTTTCATAGCCAGAGCATGGCCCAGTCCACAGCAAAGGGCTCTGCTGTCACAGTCACTCAGGGAATCCATCACAAGGCCCCTAGCCTACGTGGGAACAAATGAGCTAGCTGTGCAAGAAGCGCACCCCAGAAACTGCTCCTGGGGGACAGAATGTAGACGCCTCCTTGGCTGCACGTGTGACACACCCACTTGGTAGGTTATACACCGCCGCAGTAGCCTAGTAAAGGCCTCCTCTTGCATGCCCGGCCTTGCCTTGCACAGCCACCTGCTGCTGTGGAAGAGATCACCAGGGTCTGGTGGAGATGGCCTCTGTTTCCGGTTTCCTGGCATACAATTTCTAACAGTCTTGGAATCTCCAAAGTAATAAATGTCTTTAAAAAAGAGATTTACTTCAGTTTTTATTTTGAAAGGCACATTTTACAAAGAGAGGGAGAGACAGGTTTCACATCTTGCTGGTTCATTTCCCCAAATGTCCACAATTGCCAGGGCAGGATCAGGTGGAAGCTGGGAGCCAGGAGCTTCTTCCCAGTCTCTTAAGTGGGTACAGGGTGTCCCAAGGACCGGGGCCATTCTCTGCTGCTTTCCCAGGTCATTAGCAGGGAGCTGGAGAGGAAATGGGGCTCCAATTAGCACAAACAAGGGGTGTTGGTGCTGCAGGTGGAGGATTAGCCTACCATGCCACCGTGTCAGCCCCTCTTCTAAAATTTTTAACTTATTTGAAAGGCAGACAGAAAATGACAGAGTTCTCTCATTCTCTAGTTCATACCCCCAAAGAATTTTCCACCTAGGTTAGGCTTAAAGCCAGGAAGCAGGAACTTAACCCAGGTCTCCCATGTGGGTGACAGGGCCCCAACTACTTGGGTTCCATCCTGCTATCTCCCAGGGTGTTCATTAGCAGGAAGCTGGAATCAGAAAGTGCTGGGACTCCAAGGTGCTTTGATGTGGGATGCCAGCTCCTAAGAGTCAAAAAACCACCCTGACAAGTTTCTTGTATAAGCTAATGAGCAGAGATGGCTGGTCACATCTAGGTCAGGTAAGGCTGGTCCCAGGAAAGACCAAGCCACAACTACAGGATTAAGACTTAGTAGGGGTTGATCTGTAATTTCAACTGGTTTGCTTGGAGCTGGTGGTGGTGCAGGCTGAGCTAGGCATGACCACGCAATAAATTCACACTCATGGATACTGGGGTTGGGAACATGCTGGGTTGGTCTAGGCTGCAGCACCTGCAGATACAACCAAGAATACGGTGTGGGGCAGGCTGGGCCACAGCATCCACTGCTCAGACATATGCAGGACAGAACACGTAGCCTAAGACTGGTAAGGGCCTAGCACCCATGGACATGGGTGAGCTATAAGTCTGGGAATGGGTCTGGTTGGGGAACTAGGGCAACTCCCCTGATGGGCCGTTGTTCCTGCTCATGAGCATCTGACTTAGGCCTGGGTGTTGCTCAGACCAGGCACAGTAGTTCCAACTGTCCGCATGCATGTGGGGTGGTATAGAAAGGGGGTGGACCAGGCAGGGCCAGGTTAACCTTAGCTCACTGGCAAATTCAAGAGCCAGGTTGGAAGGCTGGGCATGCCTGCCCAGGGTATCACACCTGCTGACTTGAATGAGTCAGGGATGGGAGTAGACTGAGCATGGCCAAGCTATAGCATTTGTCAGTGACTTGGGACTGGGCATGGGCTGTGTCAGGCCAGGCTACAGCATCTGATGGCAAAGGTAAGACAGGGAATGGGTGGTACAGAGCTGGGTCAGAGCAACCACTGGCATGCGCAAGATGGGGGCTGGGAACAG